TCTGCTCTCATGCTTTTCCCACACCTCTGGCAATACAGGTTTTTGCTTAACGGGATGGATCGCTTTGTTCTGTTCACTTTCATTTTCTGCCTCCCAGACACCAAACACTCCCAGGCAGTCAGCTCCGCCTCACACCTCGGTTCACGTTAGCTGATTTATCTTATCCCTCCCATGTGTCGGGCTGATGCACTGCACATCACACCTTCTCTCTTTCCCAGTGCCTCCCTCCTCCTCTTCTAAATTATTTAACTTTTCATAATTTCTTCTTTTTTCTTCCTTTTTCATGTTTGTTCTACCCAAAGTCAAAATTATCGAGGAAGGAGGTGAGACCATACCCCTGGTTAGTGAAAAGGAAACCATTGTATTTTCTTCTTTCCCCCTATTAACCCCATTTCCCCTGGTGTTTTATGGGTCAGTCATATTCCAGGTCCAGTGGTTGTCCCTTTGCACTAAACAGCCTACAGTATTTTACTTCCTGGAGCAGTGATAAGCTTGTCCTAGTGTAGAAGTTAAAGCAACTCCATCTTGGATGCTAATCCTCCATGCTGGCTTCTGATTAACCCCAGGTCTTAGAAGCCCTCTGAGATTTCCAGTGTGTCTGCTGTTCTTTGTGCAAGAGCATGTACTTACCATAAGTGCTGCACTTAGGTTAAAGCAACCTTGATATTACCAGGCTTTGGTTGTCCTAAACTCTCTTTTCAATCATGTAGACCCTTTCCGTATGGTATATAAGCCCTGGGTCTGGAAGAAGAATGGCCTGGGGATCCACCATCTCATCTCACCACTGCCCAAGACACAGTCATGGCTTCTGTTCATGAATTCCTACTATAAATTCAGAAGCTGAATTTGTCAGCCTCTCTTTGTCCTCTCAGCTTCCTCAGAGGTCAGGGGAAGGTTTGCATATGTCGGCCTGCTGCAGAACAGTTTGACCTCACTTAAACTTAGCTCTGACTTTGGAAGAGCTGCTAAAAGTAAGACCAGAAGAGAGGCATTGTGCATACCTTAAGAGAGATGGTAAGAAGTGAAGAGTTTCTTACAAGGAAGAACCTCCTGAGAATAAAGTGGAATTATGTCACTTTACCTTGACTTTCAACCCCAAGTAAACTAACAATCAGATTGCCTTCAGTGTTTAGAGCCTTGCTGTTTTCATATGCATTATAATCATTCTCACAACGATATGACAGCGTGGAGAAAAAGGAAGGACTATTAAAATCTCTTTCTGCCCTTCCACTTACTGCTGTGGGCGTGGGACTCTGAACAAGTTCATTTTGCTGGGCCTCAGGTACCTCATTGTGAAATGGGAATGATTGTGGGTAAGATTAAGCGAAGTAACATAATTTTTCATCCTTCTCAAAATGATCTGTGCATTCGCCATGGGCTCAGGGTTCTATAATAGGAATGGACAAAGCCGTAGAAGAAATAAGCCATCTCTTTCCAGCATGTCACTTTAACTTGGAAATTGGTGGTGATGGAGCAGGAGTATTTTCTTAGGTAAATTAAAGCAGATATGTTATGGTATTTCTACATTTCCTTTTAAAGAAAACTGAGTACATTAAAGAAATGGCATGCTTGGCATGGGCAATTTTGAGTCCTACCCTTGGAGCCCCTAGTATTCTTATTTTGCTGTAAGGAATGTTTCCATGGAAAAGTTTGAGAAGCACTGGTGTGTGAAAGCATCTGGCATCGTCTCTGCCACGTAACACATTCTCATTTAACTTCTCATGTCTGTTTATAAAGTATCCAACTGCATGTCCCTAGCACATGCTTGGTAACAGCTCCTCTTGGATGTGGCTAGCATTGAACTCGACATGCACCCTCCACCCCCTCCCCGATTCTCATCCCATATTCCCTGCCTTGTCATGGACAGCACTGTCCATGGAGTTATGCAGATCAGGAACCAGGGCATCCTCCCTGGCCTGTGTCTTTCCTGCATATCACTGTCCAACCTTTAACATGTAGTTGTGCCTACATAGCCACCTTCACATGTCTTGGGTGCATCTTTTGTCACTGTCGCCAGCATCTTAGTCTCAGCTGCCATCATCCCCAGCCTGGATGCCTGTCATCACCTAGTCATTGGCCTCTTTCCCATCCATTCTCTATACTAACGTGAATGTTCCTCTTTCATATCCTCAGAGCTGACCATTTCTTCCCATTGCTGTTAGAATAACATGGTCCATGAGGCCTTTCATGGCCCAGCCTCCTACTCCATCTCAGACATTCTCCACATGATGCTCACAGCTGCATCCACACCAGCTTTCTATCTGTTCCTTCCTGGCACCATGATTTCTCCATCTGGAGCACGCTGCTCTATCTGGAGCATTTCCCTCGGCCCCTACTCAGCCCCTCTCAGCTCAAAGATCTCTTCTTCAGAGAAGCCTTTTCCAACACCTTACTCAGGGACAATATTTATCATATTCTCTGATAGGAACTTGTCCCTTTCCTTAAGGAGGACTTATCTCAGTTTGTGATCACACATGAAGTCATATCATTTGATGATGGTCTGAATGTCACATGAGTCTGTAAACTCTGACAGCAGCGGCTGTCTCTTTGGTCACCATTATCTCCAGCCCCAGTCGGTGCCTTTGACCATGGACAGCGGGTTCACAGTTGTTGAGTGACAGCTGATGTCCAGATGGCTGAGTGCTTAGCCTGAGAACATTCACAGGGCTCCTAATAGCTGGGGCCTTGGACCTCCAGGACCAGGGTTCTGCTCACCTCATTGCACATCTTCCTTACAGTGCTATAGACCAAGTCTGTCCACTTTCGTCTGTGGTTTAGAAAAGCACCTGGAAAACTCATTTTGTTTAGGAGACATCTGCTTTATTTATGTGGTTAAGTATAGAAGGGGAAAGCATCTCTTTACATTCAGGTGGCTTTATGTCACGAAAATATCTATAACCCCATACTTAAAAACTCCCTGCTTCACCTTACCTATCCAGTTTTCTCCCACTGTGCTACTTAGCAGATCTTTTCCTTTCTCTTTTTCTTTTTTCTTTCTTACTTTTTTTTTTTTAATTGAGTCAGTCTCACTGGGTCACCCAGGCTGAAGTGCAATGGTGCGATCTCACTGACTGCAACCTCCACCTCCCAGGTTCAAACGATTCCCCTGTCTCAGCCTCCGGAATAGCTGGGACTACAGGCATGTCCCACCACACCCGACTAATTTTTGTATTTTTTGTAGAGACAGGGTTTCACCATGTTGACCAGGTTGGTCTTGAACCCCTGACTTCAAATGATCTGCCTGCCTCAGCCTCCCAAAGTGCTGGGATGACAGCGTGAGCCACCACGTCCAGCTGCTTAGCAGATCCTTTCAAATCAGGCTGAACTTTCTAACCTAACTGCATACCCTATCCCTTTTCCAGCCCTTCCCCAAGTTCTCTTCTGCTCAGAGGATATCTTTCTGCCTTTCTGCCACCATATCATGTCATCTGGTATGGCTCATAAAACTCCTGAACCCCCAAACAAACTGTTTCTATGTTTCCTACACCCAGCTTTCCCCCTTGTCCTCCTATCCAGCCCTCCTACCCTCACTTCTGTGGGCACAGATTTATGTCTCTATTTTAGGATTAATGTGTTCTGATACTCAGCTCTATGTGAGTGCATCCTAACCTAACATTTATTTTTCTCCCTCATACCACTTAATTCATTATAATTTAAGAGAGGGAGCTAGAACATAACATTTTTAAAATAGTAAGTTCCAAAATATATAATTAGTGGTTCTCAGCCAAGCCATGCCTGAGAATAACCCAGAGAGCTGCTTTTTTTTTTTAATCACAATGGAGATGTCCTAGTCCCACCCTGGACCTATGAAATTGGAATGGCTGGGCTGAGTCATCAGTGTTTTCCCGGTGTGGCAAAGTGACTTGCTTAAGGTTACTTGACTCATGTCCCATAGCTAGAGGGTGACAGAGTTTCTAGTTCTTATTCATACTCTTTGGACTACATTCTGTTGAGGGCAGTGTGTGTTTAATTAATCTCTATCTGAATTTGTCTGCATGAAATAGTTTTCTTATTTTATAGCTAATGATTTCCCCCGAATATGTTTCCAAAGACTGTGGAGGTTGAGTCAGTGTGTACCAGAGACTGCATCAGCTGTTGGAATAGCCTGCCTTCCTTCCCAGGTTTACCATGTCCCTCCTTCAAGCCACAGACCTGCCTCTTATGCAGCCCCTCACTTCCCCACTCCTGGGCTGTTTCTACTTGATTTGCCCCTCAGCGTGCCCACCGTTCCCTCTTTCCTCCTCCAGCCCCACCACCGTCTTCCCAAGCACTTGACCTAGGTGCATGGCTGGGCCATGGCAGAGGCGCACTGGGTAACTGAATAGTTCCTTCTCCACTTGGCTGCTCCTGCCTGGAGCCTAAGAGAAAAAGACAGTAGAGGGCTGTGCCATGGAAGCCACCCCTACCCTTAGACAGTATGGCCCCCAGACCCTGGGAGGCCACACCAGAGAGCTTCTCTGAAGATATTTTCACATCGCTTTTAAAAATAGTTGGGAAGCAACGAAATCGTCAGTGAGGCGTGATGTCTATGGACTGGATCACTGAAACAGCGGTCCCTCCTCGGAGGAAGTGCCGTGCTCAAAAAAGTGCAGTAAGACTTTCATCCGAGCTGGCATTTCTGGCATTCAATCCCAGTTCCTTTACTCAATAGCCGTGTGCTTCTGACAAGTTATTGAGCTTTCCTGTGCTACAGGTTCAGCCATAAATTGGGGTTCAATTAATTAAGAAATGCCTACCTCTCATACGTGGTAATTGGAAGATTATTTGGAAGTTTAAATGATATAATCTGATTAAAAGGTTTATTATGATAGTATCAAAACATATTAACTTATGCCTCTTCAGCTCACATTAGCAAAGCAGTTTACATTGTGCCTTACACAGTGTACGTTACACTGTGTGATATAACATTGCCTGTACATTGCATTGCCATATTTAACATGGGATCCTTTAGAAGACAGCTTCTTTACCTACTCACTTCTGCCTCTGTCTTTTGTTTCTAGCCCTGGAAAGGAAAATATCTATGAGGCAAAGCAGAGAAGAGCTGATAAAGCGAGGAGTCCTTAAGGAAATCTATGATAAAGGTAAGGAAGATCGGTCTGCCCTCCCTAGGCCAAAGAGTCACGTGTGGAATCTGCGTGCATATTGCTTGGAGTTGCATTTTGTTTTGCACTCCACCATATATCAGGATTTAAACCATTGAAACTCCAGACGGTTCTGGAGAGAAAAGAGAACGTAGCAGACAGTGCTGAAGCTGTCAGGATTATATGAGATGAGGGAAACAAAATTCCCCTTTTCTCAGCGTCAAAATCAAACCACAGGAGGCTAAGCAAAATGCTGAGGCTGCAGGAATGATGCAGGCATGGGCTGAGTCCGTAGGTGCGCAGACACACCCGGCCAGGGTGGAGTCAACTGTTTAGGCCTTTTCAGCCACTAGGGATTCCCAAGGCAAGTGGGAGAAATCCATACTCATCTAGGATTTCCTTAACATGTTTTTTTTTTTTGTGGTCCATCTCCCTATAGTAGAATAAATTGAAGGAGATAAATTTGTGATATGTAACCATATCACATATATATATATTTAAAATATATATTTAAGATATTTTAAATGAATATTACAGTGTTTCAAATGCTTTATGACATTCCACAGATATTTGCCAGTGAATACCATCTGTCCTTTGCTTATCAGATTATTGTCTTTAAATATGAATGTAGGCAGTAGTCTACATGGCATATCAAGTATCCTGCACTCTTCTAAGAGCATATGTATACATATATATATATTAAAAAGCAAGATCCTGTCTCAAAAAATATATATAAGCATATATTTTTAATATATATAAACATATATTTTTAATATATATATTATATACATATTTTTAATATATGTGCTTATATATATTTTTTGAGACAGAGTCTTGCTCTGTTGCCCAGGCTGGAGTGCAGTGGTGCGATCACAGCTCACTACAGCCTTGACCTCCCAGACTCAAGGGATCCTCTCGCCTTGGCCTCCTGAGCAGCTGAGACCACAGGTGTACATCACCACACCTAGCTAATTTTTATATTTTTGTACAAAAAGGTTCTCACTACATTGCCCAGGCTGGTCTCAAACTCCTGGGCTCAAGTGATCTTCCCACTTCAGCCTCCCAAAGTGCTGGGATTGTAGGTGTGAGCCACCATGGCCGGCCTTTGCTTCTTTAAATTAAACTTGCATGTATGGCCTTCTCTTCTTCTTCCCCCCTCCTCTCTCTCTCCTCTCTCAGTCTGAAGACCACTCTCCCGCTGTTAGTGCTTTAAGTGAAATACCCCAGACTGTCACTTCCAATCTTGCTACACTCATCAACAGTGATCGTCTATGTCAGGTTTTCTTATTGATTCAGGCAGGTGTTATCTGGCTGGCCAGATGATTAAATCACATAACATTCTACTTTAAGGATCCAACCTGATAGTCAAAGTGCTGCTGTAATCTGCCAATCAGTTCATTCACCGTGTTTCTATGGGTCTTCCACGTGCCTCGTGTGTTCTAATTGCAAGGCAGGCTGTATTTCTGGGTTCTAACACATCTTTCAGATTTCACTGTTCTGGGGGTTGCTTCTTACTCCTCTGGTGCATCTGACTTTCTCCATTCCTGTCACGGGCCTTCCCCGTGGTACTTGTGTGGTATCTTCTCTTAGTGCAATTACTAGCCTGAAATACAAGCGGAAAGAGGCCTAGCTCTTGTGCTGCCCTGGTGGCAAGGTGTAATGGAGGCAGAATGTGAAGGTGCACGATTCCAAACCACGTTCAGTCAGTATCAGAGCTTCCTGGGGCCAAGCAAGCTGGATGGTAAGCCATTTATTCATCGACTTCCATGTACGTTCATACCAAAATACCCCTTTTTTGGTGCACTAAGGTCTCCAGGAGAAAAGAATCCCCTTTTGTTGCTTTTCTTCAATGTCTTGCTTCCTGTGTGAGTCCCCAACCCTCCCTTTTTGCTTTTCGTTTGTTTTTGAGATGGAGCCTCCCTCTGTTGCCCTGGCTGGAGTGCAGTGGTACAATCTCGGCTTATCACAACTTCCACCTCCCGGGTTCAAGTGATTCTCCTGCCCCAATCTCCTGAGTAGTTGGGACCGCAGGCATGTGCCATCGCTCCTGGCTACTTTTTGTTTTGTTCTGTTTTTCAGTAGACACAGGGTTTCACCTTGTTGGCCAGGCTGGTCTCAAACTCCTGACCTCAAGTGATCCACCTGCCTCAGCCTCCCGAAGTGCTGAGATTACAGGGGTGAGCCACTGCACCCAGCCCATCCCTTGTTCTGACTTTAAATCTCCATGCTTTATCATAAGTTCCTTTCGCCATATTCACCCCCCAGGAGAGATGGAAAACGTCTAATAAAAATATAATATTATGTGATAAGCACCCAAGTGCTTAAATAAATATTATTGTTACAGCTAAAACTTGTTCACATCCAGTTAAACAGTCCCTCTTCTCCCTCAGGAATATTCCGAAGTAGAGGGTACGTCTACTGTAGCATTTATTATTTCCATTACATCTAATAACTGGGTTAAGAGTTGCCTAAGTGAATGCCTGACTTAATAAAAAGAAGTCACAGACTGTGGGAGCAAAAGCCTCATTTTATAGGGAAAGAAACAGAGGGTCCCTGAGGCTGGAGTTTCCCTGAGCCTGCTCTCAAGGAACTCCTGACTGCTGGTACCCCAAGGCCACATCAACAGTCTGCAGTTTCCCGAGAGCAGGCGATGTGCCTCTGTCACACTAGCGTCTTTCTCCATTGGCATACATGGAGCTAACTCAGGACTTGCACTCAATAAGTGGCTCACGCCTGTAATCCCAGCACTTTGGGAAGCCAAGATGGGTAGATCACTTGAGGTCAGAAGTTCGAGACCAGCCTGGCCAACGTGGTGACACTCCATCTCTACTAAAAATACAAAAATTAGTCAGGCATGGTGGCTGTAGCCCCAGCTACTCAGGAGCCTGAGGCGGGAGAATCACTTGAACGTAGGAGGTGGAGGTTGCAGTGAGCCAAGATGGCACATTGTACTCTGGCCTGGGCAACAGAGCAAGACTCTCAAAAAACAAAATAAATAAATAAAGGCCAGGCACAATGGCTCATGCTGTAATCCCAGCACTTTGGGAGGCTGAGGCGGGGGTGGATCACTTGAGGCTGAGACTTCGAAACCAACCTGACCAACATGGAGAAACCCCATCTCTACTAAAAATACAAAATTAGCTGGACATGGTGGCACATGCCTACAATCACGGCTACTTGGGAGGCTGAGGCAAGAGAATCACTTGAATCCTCGTGACGGAGGTTGCGGTGAGCCAAGATCACACCATTGCACTGCATCCTAGGCAACAAGAGTGAAACTCCATCTCAAAAAATAAAAATAGATAGTTAGATAGTTGCAGAGGGAAGGACCAGTCTAGTCCCCGCCTCTCACCTGTCACCACAACCTCCTGTTTTACATTGATTCTTGAACTGCTGTCTGTTCTTTCTGTTGTTTGTTGATTGACTTTCCTCAGTAGCACATAAACTATAGGAGAGCAGAGGCTTCAGAGGCTGGGATTCCCCAAGCCCCAAATCATGTCTGATGTAGTTGAGATGCAAAAAATGTTTCCTGTTTGGATGATGGGAAGAGGAGAAGAGAAGGGCTAAAACGAAAACTTCATTGCACATAATAGTGTGTAGGTTTGTGTTTTCTGTGGGACTTTCTGATAAAAGCATTCATTTTCTATCACTGTGGATATTAATCTCATTGCCTCGTATTATAGTCTATCTACTGTCAGGAGCATGAGCCCTGGAATCAGATTCGATTCTAGTCCCACTGTTGACTAGTTGTGCAACTTTAGTCAAGTTGCTTAACTTCTCTGTCCTTCTCTTTCTTTATCTGAAAGTATGGGTGATGTTGTGATGAGGTACAGCAGATGGCACCTATGAAATACAACGGTGACTTTTCTTATAACAGTGACTTTATAGCAACCTATAAATTCCCTCAATCAGGGTTACTGTGCTGTGACTATTATTAATCTCATCATCATCGTCATTGTCCTTTATATTTTTTTCACTCTTTATGTGCCTTACCCTGGGTGACCCCATCAACAGGCCCAAGAATTCAGAAGGGTGAACATCACTGTTCCCTTTTGTCTGAGGATTAAAAAGGTACAAAGATCTATGACCTCCTCAGAATGGCCTTAGTGTCCTCTGAGCCTCTAAGCAAGTCTTTTCCTGTCATTTGTTCTTTCCTTTCTATAACATCATTCTTCTTGCAGTATATGAGAATCTGGTGGGTAAACGAAATAAAATTTTATTGCCGCAACCTGATGAACAGCAAATGGCAAAGAGACTGTTTTTTCAGGTTGTTCATTTCAAGGATAAATCTCATAGGTTTGGAGCAATCATTCCCTATTGCCTGGCTGGTAATTCCTCATTTTGCACCACTCCCTTGTGTTAGTGAGTTACCGGCAGCAAAATCGTTTCCACCAGAGATGCATGGACCCTGACAGCTGCCGAGTTGATTTGTAATGACTATGTCAGCCCGTCCCCCCGCATGCAGCCTCCAGGCCCCGCCTCTGTTTGTACTGCAGTTATGCTGTGTGTGTGCACCATACTACTAATGTGGTGGAAAATAATTTGTTCTCTTTAGTAGGTAAGATTTTTCTCTTCCACTGCTTTTTACATTATTGATTTTGCGTGATAATGCCCCGCTTGTTCATATAAACCATGAAAATCAACTGTAGTGATTTGAGAGTCATAATTATTTGGGCAGGGTACACATAGAATTAATGAGGTTTTATGACTCTGACAGTTCTCAGAATTCTTTCCATTTTTGTTGTTGTTGTTGTTGTTGTTGTTGGGTTAAAATCCCAAACTGGACAATGAATTTAATTCAGGCAAAATGAGAGCTTGGGTCTAAGAGAAATAATCTCAAATGTCTGTTGAACTAGCGCAGAGATTCCTCATTGAACAGAGTGTGAAAGACAAGAGCATAGTTATTCAACAGCTTTTGTTTAGGAGGGGGGCTTGGCTTCCATATTGAATCACATAATTTTACAGTCTAGAGATTTACATAAATGTTTTAAGGTCAGAGG